AAAAAATAAAAAGATGATATGACCTAAATAAATGTACTTATTTATGAAATGTCAAACAAATTTTTAATGAATGTGACATTTTTCCGATGTAATTAAAAGTGAATAGGTTAAAATAATTCTAATAAAAATATAAAAAATCAAATTGAAATTTTAATAAAAATATAATAGTATTAATAAGATAAAGAAAAATATCACATATGCTTTACATACCAATTTTTTTACCTTAATTAACCAGATAGACAAAAAGCAACTTTACAAAGTGCAAATTATTTATTACAAATTAAAGTATAAAAATGAAAATAAAAATTTAATAAAAGTATAATGTAATTAACCCTTTTAATTGGAGTTGAATAAATTCACTCCAAGCCCAAGAAAAAAATCAAACTTGTACTATCCAAGCCCAACAAACTCCAAGCTGAAAAAAAAGCCCAACAAATTTACGAGTTGGGACTATCCAAATCGTGTCACCAGACAGGGCATGTTCTCTGCTGTTGGAATGTTTGGACTAGTCATTGGGCTTGTTTGGTGTAATTCACCTAAGTTATGTATACTTTTTTTTTCAAAAAAAAAAAATTCATGTTAAATTATTTGGTATAATTTTTGTTTTCTTATTGGGCAGAAAAACTTAAATAAATTGAAAATCATCTAAAATTTGATAAAGGTTATTTTAATTTTCACTTTTTAATTATTAACTTTTGAGATTGTGTTCTTTGGGCCAATTTGGGCGGTTTGACTTTTAATCTATTTTGAGTCATATCACTTCTCTATTTTTTACACAATTTTTCAAAAACAGTCAAAAAAAAAAAACTAAAAAACTGACTTTTAATCAACTTTCTAAAATAATTGTTTTCAATTTTAATTTTGAAAAAAAAAATGTGTTCCTTATTGCTGGTCTATGCATAACAATATTGCACGTGGAAAGGCTACTGTAATAGGTTGAGATTTTTTTCTCAATTTTAAATTTAAATTTGACTATTATATTAAAGTTTATGAAGTTCAGTATGGATTTTGTTTTAATAATTTAAAATATTATATTTTGTAAGATTTTTTTTTTCTTTTTGTATGTGTCCTTAATGAAAAAAATTAAAAAATTAGACTTGTTTCCTAATTAAAAGTTGAACTGAATCAGATAATTAGGGTCTTTGATCAATAAGAGTCATTAAATGAAAGACTCTTACTGGTCATAATCTTTTGAAAAATTCAACTGACTCATATTTTTATAAACAAAGACTTTGATCAGTAAGAGTCTTTCATTTAATGGCTCTTACCGATCAGGAAAAACTTCAACTATCTGGTTCAGTTAAAAATTTAATTGCAAACAATTCATTCCCAAAATTAAATTTCAACAATGGTAATATTTTTCATTTTTTGCGAAGATAAACATAATAAAATAAAAATATTACAATTATCCTATTAAAAATTTATAAATAATATAAGAAATTCTAACATACACACTCGTTATTTTCTAACATACAATCTTTCTCCTCTTAAAAAAAAAAAAACATAGGTAACGTTTGATTTGCTTTTGGAATCATTATTTGGATCAAAATATTTCAAAACCCTTTTTAAAAAAAAACTCATAATCAAACAAAGTTTTTAAAACTTAAAAAAAAAAAACTCCTAACCAAACAACTTTTCAAAATTCTATTTTTTTTTTTATAAAAAAGAAATAATAAAAATCATTTTTTTTATATTTTAGTTTTTTTGAAAAAATAATTTTTTATTTTTGAAAAAATATATTTTATATATCTAAAATTTTTTAAAATTAAAAAAATAAATATTTTTTTTAAAAAAATAAAATAAAATAATTAAAATAAAGGGGCACTTTTTCATAAATCCATTTTCACTTACTTATGTTCCATTTAGTTCACATTATTTTCTTATACTCTAATAAGTTCTGTGAGTGACATAATTATCAAAATACCCCTAATGATATTCATATTTGCAGTGTAAATGTCTTGTGATGTGAACATTCACACCGTTAATGTGAATATTAACATGTCAATGTGAATATTCACATTCACATTGTAAAATATGAATATTTACATCACCAAATTACTAATTGTTCAAAAAATATTTCTAAAGGTAAAAATGTTCATAAAATACTTTAAATATAAGAATTATGATTTGGTAGATCAAATGTTCAAGTAATAGGACTTATTGGAATACAATGATAACTTATGGATTAATTGGGATACAAACACTTGAAAATATTTTATGCTTGTAGGGTTGGGCCCATGTGAAAGTGGATGGCACAAACAAAAACGAATTACAGTCAATATTTTTATCGATATCCAAATAGTCATAACCATCGGGATTTGAATTCGACACACCGATGTAAAATTTTAAGTTGGTTTTATGTATTGGCAAAATAATTTATTATGTTTTAGATATGTATTACCTAATCCAAATTATACTTAACCGGTACAAAAATTATGAAGAAGTGAAAAATAAATATAATAAATACAACACACATTAAAAAAATAAAAAAAATATTTACAATAAAAAAATATTTATCCTAAAAAAATAAAATTTTTAAATATTTTAAAAAGAATAAACCAAAAATAATTTCAAAATATAACTCAAAACTCTTTCAAAACCTATAAAAGCATCTCTAACGTTTACCCATTTTTTCATCAAATTTGAGTAAAAGTCGTATCTGATATCGCGCGTTCCAACGAAGCAATCTAGGATTTCATCAGACCACCAGTAGACCGGGGAATGATTGAAAGATGTCTGGCCGGTCAACTAACCAGTGCAATTTTTCTAGATTCTGAAATAAATTTTTGCAAGGAGGTGGTTGACCAGAGAGATAATCGGCCGGTCGTCCAATAATAGTGTATGTTGCAACGAAAGCCTACATCTCTAATGACCATGTATAGTAAATTGATAAAAAAACATAGTCATCATCAATTTGATGAAAAGTTTAAAATATTTTGAATTTGATGCTACCTTGATATAAACATTATAGTAATAAAAATTTACTATTTTCATCAAATTTAAATTTGATAAAAGAAAAAAAAGGATAAATTACACTTACACCTATGAGATTTGAGTTTAATACATCTCATCTTCTGACGTTTGGAAAATTATACTAACTTTTATGTCATTGTAATTATTTAAATTAAATGAAAGTATTGAACTCACACACTCTCTATTTTTCTTACTTTGTTTTACTTCTTTTATTTATTTTTTTCTTTTCTGTTCTTTATTTTTTTTTCAATGTAATTTTTTCTATTTTTCTACTATGAATGGTTGTCTTTTTATATAAATAGGAATTTGTAAAATAAGACAATTAATCACAAAAGTAAAAATATAATTTCCAAAATATCAAAAAGTGAGATGTAACCAAACCTCAAGAGGTGTCAATGTAATTTACCAAAGAAAAAATAAAACATTAGAGACGCTTTCTCTTTTCAAAATTCATTAAAAAAATAAGGACTTATTTGGATTGTATCTCAAGATATAATTTTTAAGAATTTTTTTTAAAAATTTTGTTTAGTTCAATTTTTTTTAAAAAAAAAATAAATAAATAATCACTTTCTCTCTCTTACGCATCAATCAATCATTTTTTCTATTTATTTTCTCCTTCTCAATCACTTTTTCTTTCACATACATCTACTCAACTATAACATAATATCAAATCATCTCAAATTCCTAAACTTCAAAATTATTTTCAAAATATACAACTAGACAAACCAAAAAAAATTATAGGCCCCAAATTTTATACTAAATAAATGATCAAATATCTTACATGGGTGTGGGGTCTACAAAATTACGGATGCCACACCCATGTGAGACATTTAGTCATTTATTTGGTAGAAAATTTAAGGGATTTTTATTGATAAATCCATTTTAGAGTTGTTATAACCCATTAGGTCCACAGAATATTATTATAACCTGATTAGTCCCATATACTTTTCTTTTTATTCCATGAGACCCATTTTACTAGTTTTATATTTTTAACTGGACTATTATGCCCTTATATATATGTATACATATATTGTGAAGATACACATCTTTTTTCGTTTATTCTGTTTCGGTAGTTTCAATCTTTACGCTTTTGATCATCATTTTAATTCAGATGGATACATCTCTATTTTGCTTGTTTGTTTCAAGGCTTTGATGTGCTAGGGTTTCATTGTTGCTATTGTAGTATGGTTTGGTGATTTTCGAGTAAAGACGATAGATTAGACGGTGTTCGGTTATGACATTTTCTAGAGTATAACTAGTTGAAATCAGTTGTTTTGGAGTTACAGGATGAGTATAGGATTGCATGATTAAGGTTGATATCATTTTGGTTATGAATACATGTTCAGTTTATGTTTTGATTCATACGATGGATGAGATGCTCTGTTTTTTTATTGATATGGTTCTGATGCTCTGCTTGTTCAATTATATGTATTTGACGTGGTCCTGTGGAGGGGAGGTCATTTAGATTATGTGAAGAATGTGGATGTTCTCATTTTACTTTGATGTTTGCTTAATGAGGCTCTGTGTGGGCGAGATAATTCAGAGTATATATAACAATGTAAATATTCACATCTTGTTAATATAAAGTTATGGAGGGTTGTTTGCATGTTGTGTAATGTCACCTTATTGTGGTGGTGTCATTTTGATATTGTAAAATGTTTTATGTTGTGTAAAGATGGTGGTGATAGTTTTCATTATGGATTTAGCACTTGAACTGTACACATAGGCATTTAATTTTGCACAATGTGAATTTTCATATTGTTTGGATTATTGTTGACTGTTGTATTGTTATGTTTTTACAGGAGATGGATATCTTTATGATGTTGGTGTGCACATATGGTTGCAGTACAACTGTAATAAATGTTGCCTACGCATTGTGTTATTCACGTTTGGTGGAGTGTTTGTGTGAAAAATGGGGTGAGCTATCTGTTGGTTCTATTTCATTGTTCTGTCGGCTACCTAGGATTAATATGTGTGATTTGGACAATGAGGAAGAATTTCAAAACATGTTATTGCTTACTAAATCAATGAGGGTACAACATGTAGAAGTTGTCGTTGAGTTGAAAAGTGATATTGGTCAGTCGAGTAGCTTTGGGTCACTGCGTGTGGGTGGTGAGGAAGAAATTGATGCACTACAGAGATTTTGCCACCATAAGGAGAAAGTGTTGTTGTCAGTCCCTTGGGCAAGTGGTATTATGCATGCGGGACAATGGTTTGTTTGAGGTGTACAAGAATTTCGTGATGTTTTATGTAAGTATGCCATCCAATGTGGGTTTCAGTTTATGTATGTCAAGAACGAAACAACAAGGGTTACTGCGATGTGTACGATGCGCTAGGAGAGAGGCTGCTTGTGGGCTATACATTATAGAGTACAACGAGCAAATGATTTTTTCTACATCAAGAGGTTCAGTGATATGCATAATTGTGGTACAGATGTCCGAACATTGAAGAATCCGAGAGTTAGTTCTGATTTGGTGTCGAGTACTATATCTGAAATTGTGAGAGACAAGTCGTTGACTCAGCCGTGTGAGGTGGTGACTATTTTGAAGAGGGATTATGGGCTAGATGTTAGTTACCACATGGTATGGTTGGGCGTGGAGAAAGCAAAGGTTATTATTCATGGAGATCACTCATTATCGTTTGACCAGTTGCGGTGGTATTCGAATGCTGTGATGCGTTACAATCTGGGGAGTTATGTCAATATTGACTATGATGCGAGTAGTCAACAGTTTTGTCGTTTCTTTGTATCATTTGCTGCGTATATTTCTGGGTTCAATTCTTGTCAGCCTTTATTATTCCTGGATGGAACATTCCTCAAAAGGAAAGTACAAAGGTCAGCTACTTACGGCAATGGCGAAAGATGGAAACAATGGTTAGTATTTTTTTTAGCTGTCTATTCATGTAAATATTCACATTGAGCAGCATAGTATGGAAATATAACAGGCGATTACGCAGTGTGTTCCACATTTACACTGGTGTTAATGGTTATATCAATACACATTGATGTGAACAACAACATAATATAACTGATTGAGAAATTAACAGTAATGTGAACGTTCACATTATTATACACTGATATAAATATTTACACCATTGTTTACTAATGTAAGTTTATCCATTAATGAATAGTAATGTGAATGTTCACATCATTGATGTTTACGAAATCAAATCCAAAAACAACAATAGTAATAGAGCAATGTAAATATAAACATTCACATGACCTTTTTCCTTTATAGTGTTTTTGTAAACTACTTGTGTTACTATTCATATTGGAATATTGTGAACAATTGTTTAATGGTATTGTGTTGTAAGTCTATTTCATGTTGCATTTGTGATTGCTGATTCAGAGACCACGGCCAATTAGTCGTGTTCTTGCATGAACTTGGCAAGGTTGTTGATGGTAAGCGTCAAATTACTTTTATTTCAGACCGTAATCTTGGTTTGTTAGAAGCGATGTCGAAGGTGTTTCAATCTGCTCACCACCGTTATTGCTTACAACACTTGAAGAACAACTTAAGAGATTGGATGAAGGGAATTGATAATGGATTTAGGGACAACCTCATTAGTAGTTTGGGTGACTATGCTTACGAACCAACTGTGGCAGGGTTCCATGAAAAGCTTGAGAAATTAAAAGCGGAGAGTAAGCAATGAGCACATAATTTTTTCAAGGACTTGCCATCTGAGCAATGGGCGAATTCATACTTCAGGTAATAGTAGTTTCCTAATGTGTTCTATTTGTCAAGTTTAGAATGGTAGCGGTGTGAATTTTCAGTTATGTTTTGTGGCAATGTGAAATTTTATATTCAGCTTCGAAGAAATTAAATTTAGTATCATACAATGTTTGTGATATTGTGCAGGGGCATGCGTTATGGGGAGATGACATCCAATGCGACAGAGTCTTTTAATAATTAGATTAAAGAAGCACGCAATCTTTCTATCACTCAAATAGTGGACACAATTCGTACTCAGTTGATGCGAAAAATGTGTGCACGACGTGATCAAGCAAACAAGTGAAATGAGTTTATTTGTCCTACATTTGAAACAATGTTTCTTGATTCGTTCAACGACAGCAGGTCTTGGCAAGTTAGCAAAGCCAATGAGGATGTGTTTAAAGTTCATTTGATACCATCTGTTACAGTTGATATTGCAAGGCGTACATGTTTTTGCTTTAAATGAAAAATCAACGGATTCCCATGTGACCATGTTGTTATTGCTATTCAGAAGAGCCGCTACAATCTCAATGATTGCGTGGAACATTACTTTTATGTAGAGACATCATGCAACCTATTCGGGTGTCATATTCCCTATACAATTGGTGGAAAAGCCGCCTTTTGATCCTACGGACTTCACTATATACCCACTAACTGTGAAAGGACCACCCGAAAGGCTGAAAAAGAATAGAATCCTATTAAGGGGTGAGAAACTGAAGCAAATAAGGTGCAGGAGATATGATAAATCGGGAAGTCATAATCGGAAATCATGCAAGGAGTCGATATAGGGTGTACATTTTTTCATTTCAACATTGTGTTTTACATGGGATTCTTATATTGATTTTTGAAATAAGATTGTGTTGTGTTGGCAAACATTGTGTTACAATAAGATTACGTTGCATTGGCGAACATAATAATGCTTTGGCAAACTTAGTATTTGATTTGTGTTTTTTCTTTATTTTTTGGGTACCAAACTGATATTTTGTTAATGTTTCAATGATGAATACATGATGTGAACATTCACACTTGTGTAAAAGAATTATATTATGTGAATACTCACACATGGGTTGAACTTTTTTACATTATTGTTGTCAATGTTGACATGAATATAAACTATGATATGAACTTTCACATGCATACAAATTAACATGGTGTGAACATTCACAACTGTTATGAATAAAACAAATGTGAATATTCACACTTGTATATATTATCCGTAATGATGTCATGTAGACAATGTGAACATTTCTGCACAAAATATGTGTATTATAAAACAATCAGGTTCAAACAATCGCATAAATTAATATAACAACACAGCAGTATATCATAAGTGAATATGAACATTCACATCAGTGGTACAACTGTGAACATTTACATCTATAAAACATAAGTGCATATGAACATTCACATCAGTGGTACAAATGTGAATGTTCACATTTGGCAAAGATGAATAATATTCACAACTGTTATGAATAAGAACAAATGTGAATATTCACACATGTCTATGTTATCCGTAATAATGTCATGTAGACAATGTGAACATTCCTGCACAAAATATGTGTATTATAAAACAATCGGGTTCAAACAATCGCATAAATTAACATAACAACACCAAAGGTAGATCAAAATTCACAAGTGGCTTTTTTTCCATTAATAGATGTCGTATCACTGATTTACAATCAATTGTTATTTATCAAAATGTCAAAACAATTGATATTAACATTCACATCGAGTGTTGGTTAATTTGTAGGTGGATACCCCCCACCTATAGGTTTTAATGACGCTTTGTTTTCTTATGATTCAAAAAACTGTGTACTAATAAGTCTCGTAGTCCACACCATTCAGAACTAGTGAGGCTGCCAACAATTTCTCCATGGTATATGTGCGCCCGCATGATGTAACATACTGTAGGCCCGCATTCCACCCTGTAAATGCAAAATGGTTATGATTAGCACTTGACATGTATGTTTGCATAATGGTTATGAAGGATTTGTACAAAATGTAGTGAGGCTTACGAGTCGTTGCCCTGCCGAGGACAGACATCAACTGATATGATTGGTTGTGACGGATCTTGGCCTGCTAACTTAGTCCATAGCGGCGATGACTCGCCAATAACGCGCACAACGTTCTCGATGTACTCCCTCTGTGTAGTTCACATTAGGCACTAACGAACATATGTGTGTATACATTCATTTTTGGAATTTAACACATGATAACAATTCATATTTGTGTACAATAGGAGCCACTTACAACTTCTTATGCTTGGTCGACATGCAGGTCATGTATGCCAGTCCTTGGGTGCAATGAGTTATAATGCCTCAACAAATTGTCTTTAGCATCATACACAATGATCGTCCAGTGGAAGTCATGGTGCAATGGGAATAGTGGGTATCTTTCTCCTTAGTAGTTTTTCACATGTGCATCAATGTGTTTACTTCTTTTGCGAGAATGATACTCTTGTATCACTTTCTGTATACATTGGACAAATAATTAATGGACTGTGAAGTTTCATATTCACATTAGCAAAAATGGAATGTTAGATTTTACCAAACACATGCTCATGAAAATGAATGAGGCTTCATTTAAAGTTGGGTTGACCACCTCTTGTTGTTCATGTAATAGTTCGACATATACATCTATCAGCTATACAAACATAGGGTCGTATTATATTATTTGTGGTGGGTGAACAATGTGTGTCTATGGCTGTGGGTATGTGTATGTGTGTCTATGTGTATATGCATGAAGAGTGAATCATCTTGGTAATGACATATATTACTGTGTATCGATTCCTCCTTGATAAGGTTCACAATGTCATCAAAATACACGTATGTAGACTTCGAGTCTCTTTTCCACACAAGCAACCTATGCATTTTAAACAAACCAATGTGAATATTAACATTGCACAGGTTTGAACAAATGAAATAAATAAGCACAGTGGTGAATATCCACAATTATGGAATGTGAATGTTGACAATAAGTGTTCGTACGGTCACTTACTCATCGTCTCCACTCTTTTGTAAAACCTGGACCTTTTGTTTGTCGTGTTTGGACATCATGCTCCAGACTTTGAACTTGTTGGTCAAGGTCAATAATTTTTTTGGGTGTTTCGCTGGTGGGTGTTTGTCCACATCTTCAATTATGTGGACTATATGGGGCTAGTTTGGACCTCGATCATGCTTTTTTTTTTGGCCAGGTAAGTCTGGGTACTGGAAGTCAGGCAAGCGATACACTTTTCGATCTTTCTCCTTGATACGTTTCACCCTAGAAGGTGGGCTGAGATTGTGTTGCATTGGGGCAGGGGGTTGCTTTTGCGCCTCGGCTTGCGTGACAATGTGGACTGACTAATCATTGTAAAGGTCCTAAAGAACTGTTTTCTCATATTTTAAGTCGATGACTATCTGCATTAAGCGCTTAATTTCTTCATCATTCTACTCCATGCACTTTTTTATTTCACTATTCATGTTGGGTGGGTTTGACTGGTTGAACAATTTATCTTCAAGATCAACTATCACTCTGGCCCTTAACTCCATGAGAATTGAAGCTATTTGTATTTTGCTTTCCACTGCCTTATGATGCCCCAAACCTTCCCATTTTCTTTGACAAGCGTATCGATGATATCGAGTTGGCTTGTGCTTGCTATGACAATAGCTCTCTTGTCATGTGGGCTGCTAAAGGGAATGTGAATGTCCTCATTACTGTCATTTAGCTTAACTCCATCCCTAGAAATTGAGAGTTGTTGTCACTATGTTGTTCTTCCTTGATGTTAGAGAGGTTGGGAGATGTGGTGGCTGGTTCATAAATTTCGGGCTCCATCTTCAATGTTATATGCCTGAACTTTTGTAATTCTGTTGGGGTTATCAGCCAAAGAGGTGGATTTCATCTTTTTCTGTAAAGCAATCAGATCCCACTTGACACAGCGAGGAATGACATTGGGCTTGTGAGGTTGTAGGATGGTTATGTGCTCACATAACCAATAATTCAACAAAACAACAAAGACATATGTTATTTAGCCTTTGCAAAGTAATGTCAACATATGTAAATATTCACAATAGTGGCACTGTTGTGAACATTCATAGCAGTATATCATAAGTGAATATGAACATTCATATCAGTGTTACAGATGTGAACATTCACATCTGTAAAACATAAGTGCATATAAACATTCACATCAGTGGTACATATGTGAATGTTCACGGTTGGCATAGATGAACAACACTCAAGGACATGTGAATGTTATTATTTGAGAGCACGGGTACTTACCATCAATAACATGACACAGTCGGTGACTTTTGCCGACTTTTTGTCATTTTGGGAAATGGAGGATGTCAACGTTGTTCTAATTTGCTTGGCTTAATCATATTCTTGCATGCTTTCTAATGGGACCATATGTGCGTAGTAGCCCCATCCTATTGTCTCACCGCTTGTCGAGAAAAAAAGTTTTTGGCAAGCATACATACAGACTAGTCAAGTGACTTTTTCGTTGTTATCTTTCTTTTTGTCTTTCAATGCCTCGGTCAAAAGGGTGCGTATCCATTTTGAAGTCAACCGGCTGACATTTTTGCACCTTTTGTTTATAATGCCAGTCTTTGGTTTCGCACCATGTGATACGTCCATTGGCTTAGTGCTACAGTCCACACCAAAAATCAGCTTAATGTTGTTATGTATTGTAACAACGCCGACCTATTAGTAACACTAATCCATGTTTAAGTATGCTAAATAAGTAATTAAGATGAAATCCCAAGTAAATTATATGTGCATTGTATCATTTTGTATTTATATCTGTTTGAAATAGAAAGATCTGTTCATGTTTTAGTTTTATTTTACGAATTGAAAGCCTTATCGGCATCCGACTAAGAAATTGACTTGATTTATATGTTAATTAGGATTTATAGGATTTTATGGTAAGTTTAATTAAAATTCGATATGGAACGATTAAATTAG